CCCAGAAGCTCATCGCCAGCAGAGTTTGGTCAATCAGTCCTGGCGTTGGTGCCTTAACGGCCAGCTTTGAAGTGTACAGGGTGAGTCTCTCCGGAACTGACGAAATACAATTCCCCTATTATGTAAAGTCCTTACCTGTAATATTATTGGAATTATATAAGACAATGGAGGAGAGACTCAGTCACCCTCCCCTTTCATTTCGTGTGTGCACTTCTGCAGGCAATTTGACCCTCCCGGGAAAGTGGGCCGCAGGTCGCCGCCGCCAGTCAACATTGCTCATCAATCTTCAAAAAGACAACTCAGTGCTGAAACGAGGGGCACACATGGAAATCCTTTCTTCAACTTTGAACAGGGCAGCATTATACAAACTTTGAATACCTAATGAGGACATTCCATTAGCTTTAAAGGGTGGTCAGATTGCAATACAACGAACGAATATACAGGGTGGGTCTCTCATCCATTCTTCTATAATTCCAACTATGTTGAAGGTAAGCACTTTCATACTTTTTTGCCTACTAACTCGACACAATTCGACTGCGTCACGAAAATTAGTGACTCGTTATGTAAAACCTCTCTCAAGATTTATGCAGTAAAGACTTACTTGGCGTTTGTGTTGGTTAAATTATATCTGCACATATCTTAATTGTAACGGTAAAAACAAATACAGTGTAGTGGGTACACAGAAAAATGAGCAAAACTCAAGACATATGAGTGATGATTTGATACTGTGGCATCAGTATTGAAATCTGTATGGAGTCTTTTCCTTTTTAATGTTTGTTTTATTTGTAACTGCAAGTTATGGTCATGTGCACACATTCAATAAAATGTCTTTGAAATACTTATTACTGTGTATGTGTACACAAAGCTATTTCAAATACATATATTCCCTTTATAACCATTTATACTTTGTAATCACCAGTGTTTGGGGGGGATGCGTGTTTTGAGGGCATGCAACATTGTCGGGGAATAACACCTCCCCCCGGGGGGGGGGAGTGGCTGCAGTCGCTTACCAGCTGCTTCCAAATAAATGTTCTTCCAAACCCTAGCCGGTTCAAGATACTTGGCTAAGCCGAGCCAGCTCTTCAAGAAAGCATGTGTGCAGGCTGCACACATAGGGCAGGTATTGTTGGCCATAGTCTTGCAATTGTGTGGGCAGGTAGAGTTATGGGCACAAGAGCGGGTATTTTCATTTCACTGGCAACAACTCAACATCAAAGACAAAACAAAAGAAGGCAACATGGATAAGCAACACATGCTTACAAGGTGTTGTTAATGATCTGTACACGGTAAATAAAGATAGATTTCTATATTTACATCCACACGTTTAGCGTCATGTTGCAAAATGTCGGCATTTGCAATCGACAGTAAGAGCAAAATGATCAGTTTTCGAGTGCATAATTTAGCATGCAAAATGGGCAATCCTTACATTAAGGTCACGTATAAGTCTTCCTATTGCATAACTACAGGATTGAGAATTTCCTGTTAATCGAAGATGTGAAATTCTCGCCAACCATTTGAACCCCGTAGGTTACAATAACAGCAGGGTTCTAAACAAAAGGATTGCCCAAAATACCTATCACGGTCATGTATGCATGCATCTGTTGCCTTGGTATATTTCACAAAGCCCCTTTTGGGATAGTAAGAATAAAACTTGATACAGCAAATTTACCCAGTAGACGTGCCTTGGAACAGAAAATCCACAGGCAAGTTTTTAGTTGCTGTTACACAGAAAACCTTAATGTAAAAAAAATTAACATCTCCCAGACCCAAATCAATACAATATTACTTTCAGTTCATAATGACTTTGTGCACCTTGATTTGGACAAAATTATATTTTTTCCGCTGAAAATTTTCACTGTACGTCACATACTTGAGTACATATTTCAAACGCTCAAATATTTTATAATAATGTCAAATGCATTTTTAAAAAGCTCTGAAATGTTACAACAGATACAGTAAAAAAATTAACAACTGAAAATGTTGAACTATGAACCATATGAATAGAGTAAAGTATCAAAAATAAGGGGGAAAACAAATCAACCTCTTCGTAACAAGGGGCTATGTAATACTTGTCCACAAATGGCAGCATCTGAAAATCTTGGCGATGACTGCAAATAACAAGGGAATCTACGGAAGCCTAGCCATTCATCTCAAGCATGGCCAGGTCCTATGAGCAGAGTTGCAATGACTCGAGTCAATGGCTTGACTGGAGTAACAATCTTTGGTGATCCGACTTAAGTCCAACAGGTAAATGACTTGTCTCAAGTGTCTCATGGAGACTCGAGTTGAGTTCCAGCTTATAAGACTTGAGTCTCAAAAAATTGAAAACAAAATTTTAGTTGGCTAGATGTACATGTACCTCTCACCCTAATTCATTTTCAGTATGTCTAAATGAAAATAAAAATACCCCAAAATGACTTACATACATATAGTTGTGTTGTTATTGTGTTCAAAAATTTGTGACTTAAATTGACTCGGGCTCAGTACTCGACTCAACTTCACAAAGTAACTCGACTTGACTTCCTGACATAATGACTCGACTGGAGTCACAATGTTAAAATGACTCAACTGGAGACACCAAATTTAGTGACTCATTACAACACTGCACAGCCTAGGAGCTGTGGCTATGGTTGGCGAGAATGCATGGAACGCATGAAGGCCGTTGACTATAGCCGCTGCTGTCGTTTCTCATTCATGTTAAACGGGCAACCGGTGCTATCAATTTTTACGTAAGGTAGACTGAAAGAATGTACATTAGTTTATAAGCTTCCATACAAGTACCCCCATTTTAAAAATCACTAAAAAAAATATAGCCGTTTCTCGGGTACTCAGGACAAATGCCCAAGTCCATAACTGAACCTTATTTTCGCATTTTTTTCTTTTCAATTTTGTGGGGTAAACCAGTGACTTTTAAAGATAAATGTACCTCCATCCTAATATGACCACTTCTAAACTCTTTACATATAGAGTTTACATATTTTGCAAACTGGTGCCTACACTCCATTATTGTAAAGTAAATGCAAAAACCTGTTTCAGCATTCCACGTGGCCCGTTTTTTTGACTCTCCACAAACCTTTGAAAGCCGTTCTTTTTTCTCTTTATACTGAGTACTTTGTAAAGTTACAGGTTATCACTCTGGTAATTTGGAACCAGTTTCTGAGTCAGAGTCGCACAAAGCATTTGGGGGTCCATGACTGCACACCAGGTCTATTCCTGCATTTGACTACAATACAAAACGGCACCTAGCCCAATGTACATTTACATGTACACAATAACCTCCAAATAACGCCACCAGATCTGGCGTTCAACCACAACACCATCAAAGTAGAAAGGTCTGCTGTAATCGTGTCAGACATCCTTGCAGACAAGTGACACGACTTTGTGTACATGTACAAAGCTCTTTGAAAAACTCAGTGGAGCGTGCCAACAGACCATGTGGGAATGGTAACAAGGGTCAAAGGTAGCAATGATACACCTCTACGGCAAATTGTAAATACACAGGGGTATGCATCCTAACTGAAAGTTTGACACTGAGCCAGACAGGTTCAACTGTACATCAACTGGTTATATATGGCTAGCAATAACAGTCGCAGCCATAGCTATCCAACACAGCACAGCCTCAGGATGTTGCTGTATATATTATATTCCTGGAAACAAGTTAAACTTTTCCCATCTTTGAACTTATCAAACCAATATACATTTTATGCACGGTTTATACACTCCAGTTTACCAGTTTGGCATTTAGAAAACAATATAGTTCAGTACATTATATGCATATTATCAAAGTGCATCTACAGTATTTATATACAATTTTGCCAATATACAAATTTTCAGTAGCTGTTTTTGAAACTGTTATACATAAAGTATCTTATGCAAATACACAACTAAGTTGGCAAACACACCTAAATTAGGACATCAAACAATGCGGCCATCTTTGTCTTTGTCCACAACAACCTGTGGGGAAACAACTGTTCGAGTGAGCCACATAATGCAGGTGCCAGTCTGTTGCGACAACAGCCTTAGCTAAGAGATAACCACTTATTTCAAATGCTAGTATATAAAAATAATTGCACAATGTCATCTCCTTGCAGAAATAGATATTGCTCTTTTTCATGCAGACAATAACAATCTTCCAACTGCAACAGGTGGGCTCCGTCAGTAAATACACACAGCAGCATCTATGAATAACAAAATGTGAGTTTGCCGAAATTGCCACTTTCAAACTCCTTAGCCTACGCCAACCTGAAAATCCCAACCAGAAGGGATTTTCATGGCATTGTCGATTCAGCAGCGATTCTTCAGTAACTTCTGACTAGCACCTGTGACCAAAGGTACTGACAGATCGGGAGGAACCATCAACACAGAGTTGGATAGCTCACTTGGTCCGGCACCAGAGGCCCTTAGGTTCAAATACCCACCTCCAGTCAATTCTTGATTCACCTTTGGAATGAGGAGTTTGAACCTCAGATTTTTTAGGTGTCTTACTAATCACACATGCTCTCTTGCTAGAGGAAAACATGCCTTCAATTTCTCTCATTGGGTTTTGAATAATCAGAAAATAACCCAGTAACTTGCACAACTATTAATTAATCAAATACATGAATGGTCATTGCCTCCCTGGTACTGACAACAAATTTCCTACTTTTTCAAGGATTTTAACCATCTTCCACTGCGGGACCTTGTACCCATCAATGCCTGACAGCTAGTCAAACAGAATCCCACAAACCATGAAGTGGTGTATGATGGTGTTGATGCACATGTACACCTAAGGGAGGTGCATGAGATACGCCAGTTTGAGGTGTCTGTGCTTATACAAGATGGGTAAATTTGTAGTGTGAGCGATAAAATGCAAAAAAATTGCCGACAATTGCAAACAAAAGACAAGTCTGTATGTATTTAAAGCCACATACTTTTGGTATATACAGAATACTGCAAATGACACTGGTCTCAGACTCAGACTCATGCCCACACACTCATTGATCAATGAGATTTCGGCTCCCGGGTTGCCATAGATACACTGAGCAACTGCAACAGAAGAATACTTGAGGTGTTTCAGCCAATCAGAGCAAAAACTATTTAAGACTTTGATCTCGCCTTTGTCCTCTGATTGTGATCAGCCTCTTGGATTTGGAAGTGCTGTCCTGGAAGGCTCCTATTTTGAAGTTTTTGGGAGAAACAAGACTTTTAAAAAAAATGGCATTGTACCAGCCTCTTTTATGTAACAGAAGGTGACTGTGGTAAGTTGGTGACCAGACGTACATATATTGTGCCTCCTGAAATCTTGGCAATAACATCCTTGTAAGTTATACACTACTGACAGGCAGTGAGTGAGGCATATATAGCCCTGTCAATTCTTCCTAGGCTATGGCTATGTAGGCATATTGTCTTACTGTTGCTGCATCCAGTTATTCCACAACCAAACAGCCAGAAAAAAAGCATCACATTGGATTAGCTTTGAATGCACGGGGGGCCAAGATGATCAATATTCTCCACAGAAAAATTCCAGGCATGACGTTCAAACTCAAAAACCGCGGTGAGTCAGTTGGGTTGCCTTTTGGAGGTTCAATTGTGCCTGATAGAATTCTTTAAGTTCCTCTGGTGATTCTGAATATGTCAGAGGTCAATGCATTGGGTCAAAGGTTGAAGTGTGACATGAAGATGGTTTTGGGGGCCAGGGTGGTCAGTCAACAGCTTGTCCTTCTGAACACCTGTAAACTGATTAACAGTCTCCTGGCTAAAAAGGGGGCAACTTTTCTGCACCCTCAGATTCATACAATTCTTGGATTCACAGATTTACAAATTTACACAGGATCCTAGCTCCTGTTATTGATCATGTCCTCAATGACTTGGGCTGCCACAATTTCACCAAATGCCAAATTCCAAGTTTGGCAGCTACCCCTTAGCCCAAGCAATCGTAGTTAGAACTTTCTTAAAACACCAAGTTGCGCATGAAGATATGCCAAATAAAAATTGTTGTAGTACTTTGTCTTTCTAAGTAAAGACCAAACAAAGGTCCACGGAAACAAAACCTACTGTTGCTTTAGTTTTCAGTCCCCAAAAAAACTGACACATACAACATTTATAAATATCAGCAAAAAAGTGCTATTTCAAATTCTTTGGCAAATATCATCAATTTCAAAGGACACAGTTGTTGACAAACAGCTTCCAAGTTGATCAAGTTGACAATGGCTACAGGTTACGTGAGCATCATTGTTCTCAGCAACAATATGCAGCACCAGTCATCATTCCGGCATGCACCCGAGTATTGGTCGCAGTTACCAGGTGAAGCGTACCAGTTAGCACGATTGGCGTCCAACCACACACAGTTCAGTCATAATTCTGCCCATGTCAGCATGTGCACGTTCGCAGTTGCGTCCAAATGGCGACTTATTTTTTCTGCACGTTCCTACATTTGCTACCCTCCCCCAACCCCTCCCTTATGGGCAATGAATTCGGGGCGAGGAGAGAACAGCTCCTGCTGGAGCCAGAGGACGGAGAGCAATGACGAGACCAAGTGAGAGACTGGGGGTCACGTTCTGCTGTTGATGTAGAATAAGTGTTTGTAGTTCTCCACAATGTGCTGTGTCAGATCCTCAATGACCTCACGCCGTTGCCAGATGCAGAAGAACAGGAACGAGAACATCACGGTCGTTAAAAGACGACCCCTACAAGAAAAAAGAATATTAGGAATACAGGATTGCATTTTGCAACTAAGCATAGGCCTTTCACTCAAAGGGCAGCTCTTTGTTCCTGACCTTTTTACAACCACAGAAGTGACCTCCACACCCCTTCCAATCTTAACTGTGCCATAACGCATTGTTTGGAAAGCATGTAGAGACATCCATAATGAATACAAACAACTGTGATGTAAAATCAACTGAGATGTTTCTGCAAAACCACCGCTATGCATGTAATTGTACCATCACATATCCCTCTGTAAATGAGCAAATTCCGCAGTGGCTGTGCTGTCTGAAAAATGTACTAACAGCAGATACAAGTTTACATGTACACGTGCTCTTGAAATCTGCAAAGAACTGCCTTTCATTATAGTAGAATTGGGAGAACAGATTTGTCAATGTATTCTCCCTTCATGACCAGTACAAGTACTTTAAAGATGTGGACGCAATGGAATTATTTTACTGCACTTTTGATACTGTGTTTCAATTAAACCTTAATTTCAGTTTTTGAACAGAAAAACTTACACAATGAATGCATGGATAATTTAAAGTGTTTTAGAAAGTGCACTTTTTAATGCATATAACCTAGTGGGAGTGTAAAAGAGTGTTCACCGTTTCTTGCACCATAGTTGTGCAGACATATACATGTATGTACACTCGACATTTCACCTATTTTGTGGGGTCCAAAATGTTGTGGGGACTTGACACAGAGTACAAAGTTGCAGAAGAATTGTGTCTAAGAAAAATTCATTGCAGCCACCCTTTAAGGCAACAGTGCCCTAGGGCCCCAAAATAAGTTTGGACAATTGTAACTGTCTTTTAAAAAAATTACTTTTCAACACATATGACTCCCAAAGGATGTTACATAACAGGCTTTTCTAACTGAAAATAACTAACAATAATACATGATAAAAACACTTGTGGTTAAAAAACTGGGTTCCTCCACTTTGCAAATAAGTGATCATTCTTCAATTTCTCATTGGCCCCCCCACCAACATATTAATTTCCAGACCTTGTGGCGACAAAGGGTGACACTGCGTTCGTGACAGTTGAAATGATGAGAAGTAGCACGGCCAGGACGGACAGCACAACGTTGATGAGTTTGGACAAGAGCGCCCTCGCATTGGCATTCTCATAGCCCTCCAGCGTAATGACCTGCTGGTGCTGCTGAGCCAGTTCAATCTTTGATATCTAGAACCAAGACAGATGCAGGGATTTAGAACTTAGCATCCCCAATTAGCACTTAAGAAGAGACATCCCTTTTCTGTCTAGAAAACAATGACCAACGATTTAGGCTTGGATTTAACCTGGGTGACTTGGAACTCAACACCACATCTTGTAAGTTTGGGTAAGGAAAGCATGGTACCTGAAATCAGATCTGACAAGGGGAGGGGTCAACCAACATGTATTTTAATGTGAAAGAATTGACCAGAGACATGAGACTTGTCCTGAGTGGCTTGGGACTTTATCAGTGCTATGTATAAACTTGGATAGAGTGAAGTGAGACTTTATAAAAGTGAATTGAGACTTGAACAGGGTGACATGAGGCTTCATCAGAGTAACTTGAGACTTGACCAGAGTAACTTTATACTTGGACTTTGACACCTTGCCAGAATGGCATGAACTAATACAAGAGCAATTTGAGACTTTCCTAGGGAGATTTGAAACTTGACCAGGGTGATTGAACCTTGAACAGAGAGATTTAGTCTTAACCACTTGCTGCCGGGTGGATTTTTCTTGAGCAAGACAACATGCTGGGTCCTTTCCGAGATTTTCCGTTTTCAAAATTCTTCAAAAATTCATCATTTACTATAATGGCCGTTTATACCCACATGAAGGACTCTTTGGGCACTACTCTAAAGCTGACAGTTAACCTTCACTGACTTTTGAATATTTCAGCCAGGCCTGCAGCCTTAGAAAAAGAGCCCAGATTGTGCAATGTTACGTAAGATTCTTTTGTTCCCGAAACTCAATAAAGAGCAACTCAATAACTCAACAAGTGCGACCCGAGCCACGGTCTGCTGACACACACATACACACACCCTGGTCTGGCACTGGTCCACATTGTCCAGTACATCCCGTTCCCGCTCAGCTGACCGGTACTCCAGCCTCTCCTCCATGCTGCTCAGCTCCTGCTGCATGTTGGTCAGTGCATGGTTGTGCAGGTCTGTTAGGTCAGCTAGTTGCTCCTCCAGCCGTTCCGCCTGGTACCGCTCGTCCGCCAGGGCCTGGTTGAAGAACTGGTACTGCTCTCGTGTTTGCTCCTGTCCAGTTATCAAAAACATAGTCCAGGTAAGAATTGTTTTTCTCAGGGGTATGAGTGGAATATAAACAAAATAACTGTATATAGCTGAAATTCCGAGGGTGAAGCACAAAGCACACACGGCGTGGGCAAGGGCCCCAGGAAACTTTTGAAATATACATGTAGATGGTCTGTGGTGCCCTTTTCCAGCCTCCTGGTGTAACTGTTGATCAGTTTTGTCATTGCAATTTAGGCTATGCATATTTTGAATTTTACTTTTTCTTTATATTTGTCTGAAATCCCTGAAGAGGTTAAATGAATGGGAAGAGTTACATCTTAAGACAACACTCAAGAATGCCCGTCATGTCTACGGTGTATTAACGTCCATTTCTGCAGATTTATAACTTAAGGATCGGTCTTACCAAAGGCTGTGTCCAAGTCCGGATCTCTTTGGACAACTGTACATATGTGGTGCATTTATATTTCAATGAGTTTTTGTTCAAAAATTGTTTGAGAGCCCGTACAAAACGATGCAAAACCGTGTGAGAATGCATGACACAAGCAGAGCTTCGCACACCCCACGCCAGTTGTCACGAAGCCCTCTATCAGCAGAGGCAAAAATTTACCAACCTTACTTCAAGCCGCAAATTTACAATGTATGCTACGAGTTATAGTGGAGCTTGTTGGTCATTAGTTTTGCTCAAGCAGGAACAGCTGCAACGAGTCCCACTGACACATATATGAATATTGATATTTCAGTGGCAGCCAATCACAGCACAGATGGCCCGAGGATACTGTTTAAACACAAGGCTTTGCTCTGCACCGAATGCATGCCTTCACACAGATTTGTATGCACTGTACTGTTCAGCGTCTGAAAGAGGACATGCAAAGTTTGGCCTGGCTATCGCTTTGATAGAAAAAAACCCGGAAAAATCGGTACTTGGGGAAGGAAGAAAAAAAGAAAATCTGGCTCATCGATAGCGAAAATGTGGAAAATCAAATTCGGCAATTTCAACAAAAAGCAGAGGTTTCACAACCCTGTTTTCTGCTGATGCCTTACAGTCATTTTGAAACCAACTTTGACAAAATTAGCGATAACTTTTGCATAAACTGTCAAATTTTCCAAGACAACTAGGCTGGGAATTTCACCTTTTTCCAACGACATGGGCACAATGCACAGGCCAACACTGTTCACAGCACGAGCTATGAATGACCATAACGACAAAATCCCCCTTGGATTGATTCAAAACTTCACAGATGCAGTCACAATGGATGACTTACATACATGTACACGCCCAGATGAGATGTTAGAACCCCCCTCCTTCACCCCTGGCCATATAAATAGGTCTGAAAACGCAGACTTCTCAGGGTTAAAGACTAGATTAATACCAGGTTGATACGTATTTGTAGGGCATGTTTGATGACATGCCTTCAATCGGAACTAACACATTATGGCAGCTCTTGTTCTGGACCCTAAAATACCCTGACATCAAATATCCACAAGCTCCTTCCAATGTCTTACCTTCACCTCCTCTAACTTCATCTGCAGCAGCGCCTCCGATGCGGCCAGCTCTGAGATCCTGTCCTGGAGTATCGTCATGCGGCCCACCAAGGGATGCTCCTCTAACTCCTCCCGCATCAGGTGGCCATTCTCCGTCATCTCCATACTCGATGACTCCTCCCCTTCACTGTTGGACTTGGGCCTGACGAGGAAAGTTTTGTGGAAATTCACTTGTGCTTGTTCACACGTACGTGATCAGTACTTACAGGCATTAGACAAACATGCTGAAATGCAGGCCCTGCAGGGACCAAAAACATTTACGGAGACAAATTTCTGGCAACACAACTCAGTCCTCACTTTTCTAACAAAAGAAACAGTCCCTTTAAATATGGACAGTGCTTTGTGTTACAGTGAACTACAAACCCTAGTTTAAGCTGGGTTTTCATTGATGGTTCCTGTTCTTTTTCCCTTTGCTGTATAAAACTCTCACCTCAAAATCCCCCCAAACCTGTGTTTTGGAGATGAGAAAACCTTGAGTGGACCTGGTTCAATACGGGTGGCCAGGCCACAACCTTCCTCAACCCTATAAAATTTCCCAAACCCCCCTTGGTAAATTTTAAAGTATGGTCAGGCATCAAAAATTCACCTTTTTTTCATCTCTCAAATTTTGACTGGGTAGCCAGTTTCAAAGTTAGCATATATAAAGTTAGCTATAGCTACCGTATAAGCAAAGCTTATACGGTAGCTATAGCAGCATGCAAATTAAGTAGTGGGTGTCTGTGAAACCAAATAACTTCAACAAGAATCTCAGGTTTCATTTCAATGGCTAAAACTGGCTGGCTGGCTGGTTATTGTCTTCTTTCCAAAGAGTTTTTGGCAAAAACCAAAACACCTAAAACTAAATTCATTTGAGGAAACTAGCTCATCACTAAAATGTGCAAGGACAGGTGTAAGATGTTCCCTCAAGAAAACACCCAGATCTGTGGTTCTGAAATTCTGATGTGAGTGACTTACGCCATTGCCGGCGTGGGAGCAAACCAGCTGCTTCTCCCTGTCTTGTGGGGTTGGTCGACCTCTTCCTCTTCATCTGCAACAAAAAAAGTGCCCAAATCAGTCAAGCTGCTGAAGCAGACAACACTACACTGTGTATAGCCTGATGCGGTGACTGGAATTGGAAGCTGTTACTGCGGTAGCACTGCATTATGGACAGGTGGCGTACTCCTATTTGCGTGCCTCACTGGGCAATAGGGTTACATGTACATGTATGTGACTTCGTTGGACAACAGGGTACTGTGACACACACAAAGATACACCATATGCCCAAAGTCTAAGTAAGCACACATGAATGCAGTGCTATCGTGCTAAGGGCATCTCCTCAGAGTAGTCTAATAAGAAAACTTGATATTGTGAGCAAGAAGCAAGTAACAGTCAACAGGCAATGTGAAACACATGGACCATTGGCTGGTAATCTGTCTATACAAGTAGACGAAATTTGCCCCCTGATTAAATGACATTCTTTATCTCAGTTAACTTGATCTGAAAGGAGACTGACAAAGGAACACGTTGTGTAAATTCACCATCAGTTACGAGGTTCTTGAAACAGATTTTTGGGAGGTCAACGAAACAAACCTACCTGTGTTATCAATGTTGTCGGCACTCCCAAACTTATTCTTGAATTTATGAGCAATTTCCTTGGGCTTGGAGACGACCACGCTTTTTGATAAAACACATAAAATAAACAATTTATACTTATGATGCACTATTGACATGAACTGGTCAGACAGACTTTGTTGTCCATTGGTCAATTTTTAAGACATTATGGCGAAATGTGAGGATACATGTACATCATACTTGTGCATGTATCCTCACTAACAGGTGAGAGAGGTAACATGATAGACTAAGAATGTCACTGCCACAATGCCACTTAAGTAAAGACAAAAAAAATTTGTGCTCATTCAAATGAAAACCAGTCATGCAAACTTGGTGCAAACATACACCTCACTTGCACAATTTAGTGTGCCCATACGGTGTAGTCCCCATGTCAGTGTAATTATGCACTAACACGGACTTCATAATTCTAGTTCAGGGTCCAAAACATTTGAACAGCAATTTTTCTGACCATTCCAATGACAACTGAGTCTCACAAAAGGACGGTGGTGAATTCACTCTTACATGTTCTTTTTCTACGGTTGCTGGATGCAAGCTCCCTAAAAAATGCACACCTTATTTTCCAAAAAAAAAAAGAAAAGAAATTTATTAATTAAACTGTGCAAGCTCGAAAAAAAAATAGCATATTAGTTATGTATGTACACAATAAAATTGTATGGACACAATGTGTATGCATGTGCTTAAAATGTATATGTACATGAGTGATTTTTGTAATTATCTTCAGGCAAATTTGCATTGTCAATTCTGATTGGTCAATTCACGGCAACAAACTGTGATGTCAAACCCATCATAATAATGCACTGTTCTAACTCAACGCATTGCGCATCAGTATTTTTATGCTAAAAGCAAACTGTACAACTGCGAAATTTACTTGCAATTCAAAGGTGGCAAATTTGTGCACGTACCAAGTACATGTAGGTTCCTATAATATCTTTACTGCAACTCAAGTTTGCTTGAAGATAATTTCATTATCACGCTCACGTTCATGGAACACAGAGTAATGTAGTACATCTGTGTCCCGTATACCACTTGGCCTTCACAGCCTCCTCAGGCTCCTCAGCTTCGTGGTGTACGGGACATGGAGGCACAATATTACTCTGCGTTCCACTCGCACTTGTGTGATAACTAATTAATATAACTAACTAAAGCCTAATTTCATAAAGCTAGGAACAATTAAAATGTGAATACCTCACATGGCATTTTTGGCTGGTAACCTGTTCTTGCTATTAAGCAAGCATTTCCAGTGCTTAGCAAATCTCTGTGCTATGAAGCATTGTTAAAATGTGGTCCCCAAGTTAATATTATTGGACATATTGGTACCATTTTTTGCAAGCACTACTTATTTTGTTTCTGTTGCAAAACTGAGGAAATAAATTTCTTTTGTCAAATGAAGCTATATGCAGAAGGACTGTGAATGGAATGAATATTTGCCATAAATGCATTGAAGTTGAGGAGTCATTTTTTGGAAGAACAAATACAAATGGCATTGTTTACTTGTTTTGTGAGTCCAATACCATTTGTAAGTACTGCAGTGTATGAAACACCTTTGGCTGTACACATACCATATTCTATACAGTTTGATGTTCCAGCACAGAAAACTGGAATGACTACTGAGCTGAAAACTTTCAAGTCTGCAACCCATCAAATACTCAGGTATGGGTAAGGAAGTCAGAGCAGAACACAAACGAGCATCCAGAATGTCAAATGTTAAATGAAAATGCAGAATTCTGTGGTAATCAGGTAATACCACTCACGGCTGAAAAAAAAAAATGGCTGCAAAGGAAGACAAACTGAGACTGTGTCCAAAATTGGGCGCTAAACGGCTATGGCCAGCTCCAACTTCGCCACTGCTGTGCTATGATAAATAGCTGTGGGTGTTGGGAGCTGTTCCTGTATCAGATGTGGCCCTGGATTACACAAAAATTAGTACACGTACACTTGGATTTTGTAAGTAAAAATACTAATCCTGCCCAAAAATGGTGCTTGAAATGCACTGACAGCGAGGCAAACCTAAAAGCAAAAACTGCTCAGGGAAAAGAATCTACTTCAAGAGTTTCATCAAAAGAGAAGAGAGAAAAATAAATACATTTACGGGGATACTCGGATGCTACTTGACAAATTTGGCCGCATGGGTATCTGGTTGCCACGGAAATGATTGCTAAGGCTATGACAGTGCAGGCGTTGCCACAGATACGCACCTAGCAGCACTTTGTGTGAGCTCGGTGAGTCCAGAAATTCCACCGCCAATGCGGTCAGCCACACCCCTGATTGTGATGGCAATGAGCAGGAAAACAATGGGTGGGGGGAAAAGTTTGAACAATGTGGAACTCCGGCACCACTGGCGCTTTCTCAGGGCTCAGATTACACATTTTAGAAATGATTTGTCTTTCAATCACAAAGTTTGAAAGAACATGAGTCTAGTACTCAACTTGGAGAACAAGTGTATATGCATTATATTCATGTGCCTGGTACCATTCCAGCAGTAACTACATGTATGAAACTACTTGATTGCAGCATCAGTAACTGTAAAGACTTACCAACTTTTAAAGAATATCTGAACTGAAGGCCGCACTGTCTGTTATCTTAACTTATTAATACATGCACACTATATCCCACCATGAAAAAATGAAGTGTGTTGGGGAGTTATGAGCATTTCACGATCTGTTTACACTTGTCTGTGACTGTCCCAGAAGTCGTTCCTTTCATACTGGTCGAACAAAACTTCGACTTAAGCACTGGTCCCACGAAGGTACATGTAGTTCAGGGATTTTCATGTACATAATATCTTATTCTCTTGACCGGAATCAACTTCGAGATAAACGGAGTTCCGAATGATCCGGTTTGAGTTAATGAGAGTTTACTGCACTTTGGTTTTCGATTTTGATTTTTATAGCGATCATACATGTACCAAATAATGATGAAGCAAAATCAGACAATGTAACACTGGCGGAATTCTTAAAAAACATTGTGTCAGTTGACTATCATTTGACTGATATCAGGTAAAGCTTGCTTTTGTGGTTAAAGTACAGTTCAATTTCTATTGAAGTACTTACCCGTATTTTACATGTAATTTTTCTGTTTTATGAGCCAACTTACCCTGAAAACCCTGTAATGCCTTCCTTTATGTTGTCTCTTACACCCCTGAAATAACAAAATAACAAAAGGGTTGATTTAAAATTCATTCTTTATGTAAATTTAATTTCTTTATTCAGATTTAGAATTTTGTGCATGTTGCCTGATCCACTAGCGGCACATGTGAACAGACCATGAGTTCCAAGCCCATCCAAGCAGGCTAGTCATTTTTTTCTTTATTACACAAGCTATCAGGTGCTGAGCAAGCAGTGTTCTTTTTCCAGGATGTTGTCTGACCTAGTATCTCTCTCTACGTATATCCGGCGGAGAATCCCCTGACAAAAGCACAATACAGGAAACACATGGGAAAAGGGAAAAATACAAAATTGTTTGAGGAAGTACATGTCGATGTACGTGCTGCCATTGTCAGGCAAGGGACATCCCAAATTGACCGGTGATAAAAGGTTAGGTTGCACAACATGTACACAAGCTGGATTTGCTAGACATTTCAAGCCCACTACGTGGAAACAGCAGAATTTGTGTCCTAAGACAGAAATCTTCCCCCAGACAATCCATGAGCAATACGCAAAGTTCTATGTGGTATTTGGGCCAGGAACCAACTTTTGACAAGCGACTGATGTGGCCTTTGGAGCCAATTTTCTGTAGTTACCAAGGAAGAATGGTTTGGGGGGAAGGAAAAATATTTGCCTACCAGAACAAGCATGCAATAAAAACTGTCACATAATCGAATACCACATCACAGTGGTTGTCACTTGAGCTCTGCTAATCATACCATGTCGCTCAGCAGCATCTCCAGATCAGCGGCTCACAAAATGGAACACAAATTCTGTGGTCATTTCCTAATGGTATCGCAAGTGGTCAGTGATTATTTCACTCCGGTGAGACTTCAGAAATACCGGCAAGGGACTTCCTCAAACAGCAATTAGTTTGAAGTACTACAATGCTTATTTTGCAGTTTGAATTGCACTGCACTGCTTCAAAATAAGTACCGGTACATAAATAAACTGAATCCTTCAGCTGGCTTAGTTGAGAAGTGCCCTTTCACTGTATCAGAGGAAGAGAGGCTAGTGGGATCCATTTCAGCTAGTGACCTACCAGTAGGGGCAAAGATGATACATTCTAACCTAACTGGTCAGCGCAACCCGTACCAAACGTGCATGAACTTGTCCAGGCACTGCGATTTGCCGCTACCAAAAAGGACATTGTTCCAGTGTAAATACATGCCAGTGTAAGAACCCTCCATTGAGTACCTCAGCCCCCTGCTGCATCCCACGGACACACCACCTTGCATACATGTACATGTATGAGCCCCCATTGCCACCATTTCCCGTAAAGCCTGCCTCCCCGATCCCTTTACCTCAGCCCCTGCTTCATCCCATGAACACCTCATCAGGTATCATGGGCCCCCAATGCTTAGTCCTGCTTCCCCCTCCCACTGCCTATCCCTACCCCCACTACCTTATCCTCGTTCTTCACATGTACCTAAGCCCCTGCTGCATCCAAAGGAACACCATGCTACCGGTATCTTGGGCCACCGCTCCCCCCTTACCTTCCCATCTCACCTCCTTCATCCCCATTTAACTCAGCCCCTGCTTCATCCAGTGTGGAATACCTCTTTGGGTACCATGACCCCACTGCCTATCCCTTCTCCTGCCCCAACTCTTACCTACCTTTCCCCCTTAAATTAAGCCCCTACTGAGTCCCATGGAACAACTACCCGGGTTTTCAGGACCCCCACCTGCCTGTACCTTCCCTACCCTTACTCCCTGCTCTTATCCCTATCCAATCTTCCCCCTTATCCCATCTTACCTAAGCCCCTGCAGTATCCCGTAGAACACCTACCTACATGTAGGTTTCCAGGACCCCCACCTCCAGCACCTTCCCAACCCTTATTCCCTGCTCTTAACCCTATCCCATCTTACCCAATCCCATCTTACCTGAGTCCCTGCTGCATCCCGTGGAACACCTCCTTGGGCTTCCGAGGTCCCACCGCCCCATTGGTTTCCAGCTCAATCAGCTTCTTGTGATAGTTCTCCAGCTTCTTCTGGAGGTGGGCGATGGTGGCGTTGGATTTCTGGTTCTTCTTCTCAAAGACTGTCTTGATACGCTGGAGCTGGATCTTGTCAGCCTGCGCCGACAACTTCAGGTATTCTGACACATTTTCTAGACAGACAAAGAAAAAAAAAGAAAGGAACTCTACCTAAAATCTTTTCTCTCCTGGGTGGAATATGGATAGTACATTCCTTGTCGAAAATTTTCGAGGGGCATCAATCCTATGTCAATGAAACCCACATAAATGTACAAAATGGGACAAAAATAATACTTTTGTACCTTAGGTCTCACCTGCCACCTTGAGCAACAAGTGAAGAAGTCATTCACTCAGCAGAGGTAGGTTAACAGCAACAATGTGATGCGGTGTTTATCTCTTGTCACCTATCCCCCACTTATATTTACTTGGCACCTACCAGTAGTACATGTACCTCTAAATGTACCTACATCTGCTTAGAAGCTCCATAGTAAAAAAGGCTTGTGACATTTTTTTTTCTACTGCTGTCCCCCACGTACGGAACCATCTACCCCGACACAAACACTGGTGTTTTTGAAGGGGTCAGTTGAGCTCACCATCTTTTGCATTTTGTTCCGCCTTCATAGCCTCTTTGGTCCTGTCAATCTTGGCCAGAGTCTGCTCGATGAGGAATTTGGTCCGCTGAGGATCCGGGGACGTGACACTGTCTGTCTCGTCCTGCTGCTCCATGTCCGACCCATAGCTTGGCGTTCCGCACACCGTGCTGTCTGCCTGGGTGTGCGAGAGCTGCAATGAAAATCAAGACTAAATATACAGGTACATGCATGATAAAATGGTCAGTGATTTCCAATGACGTGTGGGCTTTTCTTTGCACGAGCACAGTGTTAAATTTGAGAGCGGTCAGTAGGAGAGAAACATGTGTGGAGATGTACATGTACCAGTACATGTGTACATATAACTTTCTAAAGTAAAGCCTTGCTGTTCTGCTAACAGCAACTTTACTTTACTCATCTGCATGTGCTCAAATGTGAGTTACCGTAGCTCTAAAACCATACCTGTCAGGCTGGTCAAAGGTTCTTGCAGACAATCCGTCTCTAACCGACAAGTCAGACAGCAGCCAGCAATTTTCAGCCGTATTTTACATGGTGTATACAGTATACAGTAACTGTCCATGAGCACATGCGTTAGTATTTTTACCTTCTTCTTTAGCAGTGGCGAGTTCACAGCTGTTAGTAGAGATCCCAAAACCATGATTTAGCACAGCAAAAAACACAAGCAAGTCCACAAGGATCCTAACGTATTATCGGTACATGACACCCATGCCGGGCAATGCACAGACCACACAATCCTTAAGATGAGAACGCACGTACATACTGTAAGTGTGCACCTGTACACATCTACATGTCTTATACCAGTACATCCCACATGTCATGTACATGTACATGTTTTATAAAACTTCCTTCCCGAACCAGGCTTTTCATCCGATGCAAACTTGTTCCACACTGCATGATTCCTAAAATGTCCAAGCACAGATATACGGCTCAGTGGTCTTCCTCGAAAATAGGATAGTGTCCTGTTGTTCAGGAACTCGTGATCTGATTTTTAACTCAGTGGGATGGGCACTTACACACATGTTTATGTACATACACGTACACGTACATGTATTGTACAATGTGTGCACAAGTATCTGTTTTCCCCCCGGATGTTTTTCTTCCTGGCGCAATATTGGGGATGATTTTAAATGGTCTTTAAAGGTACCGTACTACATTGTATACACAATGTATGTACATACATGTACTTTTGGAGGAGAGGGAGGGTGTCAGTCAAGTTTTTTTTAAAAATGCATAATCTTATAAGTTCTAAACATCTACATGTGAATGTAAGAGATGATCGGGGGGAAAATGGACGATTCAGAAATGCTTCCATTGAACCATTTGCTCAATATGTCCATGGTTTCTATCCATTTTATACTTTGCGCAAGACTCTTTTCATTATCTCCAAAGTGACTTAGGTGATTTGCACCTCTTGCTGTTAAATTGAGTTACCGGTACACGTACCGGTGCGTATCAGTTGACTGCTTGTGACTGTGTGTACAGGTACAAAAAAAAGTACATAATGTGTGGACCTCTTGCACAAAAGAAGTCCACATAATGTAGGGTACGACGGCGTTGTGTGGACTAGCACACGTCCACACAATGTTTTCCCCTCTCTGAAAAACAGTTTCAGAGGCATTGTGGGGTCAAGGTTATCCATGGAAAAATGAAGAAGAACAGTCCAGGAAATCATTATAAAAAATCCAGCTCGAAGGAGTTACTGGTATCCTAGTTGGAGAAAAAGGAGCATTTTACTCAAGTTTCTCTAACCACAGGAGAACAAAGGAATGTCCACACTTTGTATGTACATGTAAAACAGGTATATTTGTGTGTGTACATGTACATGTACTTGTATAGTACATGTATGTGTGAAGGAAGATTGATCTCTGTAGTCTTAAAACTATCTACAAGTACATTTGTAACAAACACGGAACTGATTTCATGTGGGGCCTAATTTACAATGTCCACATAAGAAGACTGGGCTGTGCAGTCTTAAGAACCATGAGAACTCTACAAAACCAAATGATGGATTGCGGTGGGTTAGGGAAAACACATACATTAGATTAGATTTACACGTAATCTACGAGCAGGAACAAAAGAGGGTATGCATGGCATGTTTCGAAATGAAACTGACAGTCCTTTGGTATGCATTCACTGCATAGGCGCACAAGTTTATGCATGTTTGATGCGGAGCAAGCTGAATATGCGCAACAAATTTAAGTCTGGAATGTAAATGTACATGTGTGGTGTTCGCATGCATGCCAAACACATGCAAGGACCCGGTTGGAAAACTTAGTACCCTCTCTCTGTCTTTCAACAGTGAGGGTGCAGGTCAGGGAGAATAGCTCCTTACATGGGCTTTTAGAGCCATGTCTAGTGTCGGTGTGCCCCAATGTATTTTAGATAGGCAAAGACCTACCGGTACATGTAAACCCTCAAGTACATGTACATGTGTCTCTGGATAACAGATTCAGTTGAAGCCTACCGGTACACATTATATGCAAGAGAAGGGTTTCAAGTACATGTACCAAACAATGGAACAACACACTCAGTACCAGTGAATTGTAATCAAGACCATCTCAAGTCCATTCACACTAACTGTCCCACTGACCATTCACACTAACTGTCCCACTGACCATTCACAAGACCATTCACACTAACTGTCCCACTGACCATTCACAAGATCATTCATCCCAGTACATGACCAGACACAAGACCAGTCACAAGAGACACAGTCCAGTAGCAAAAGAAAGCTTTGGCTGCAGTTCATTTGGAAAGCTGCACTTGAATTCAGACTGCAGGTCTTCTTCTGATATTGTGAAGGATTTCAACGACACAACCCTCTTCCATGTCTGCCGCACTGCATGAATCTCCATGTTCAAAGATCCCATGTACCGCTATGTGCATGTACATCTACACATACAGGTACATGTACATGACGTACATGTACATGTTTATAATACATGGAATTCAGTTCGTTTGCTTTTTTTCCTCTTGAATGCAAACTATACAGCAGCTGGTACAGGTGTGTGCTTTTACGCTCAAGCTCCAATTAGCCCACAGCGAACACTGAAATACCATCTGCTCAATACACTGGATTTGAGACAGACGTCAGCGAAATAAAGACCTAAAATTCCAAACATGAGGTCGGGTTTCAGTATCCATTAACGCACCAAATACAGTTGAGAAGATAACAGGGCAAACTCAAGGAAGTACATGTACATATGCAGCATGCTGTGAAAAAAAAAAGGCAACAGTGCATGCACATGCTGTAAACGATATGATACTGGAAGACTTTCAGACCAGTCCAGAGTTCAACATGTGTGTCTACAGAGAAATTCCGATATTTATAGAGTCAGTTTCACTACAAACCAAACTCCTCCAAAGAATGCAGGCAGTGTCTGGTGACTCTTTAAAAAGAAAACAATAATTCCTCCGGTCCGACTGGCTGATTATGCAGCATGAAAACAGGAAGTTACATGCAATTGTCTGGTATCTGCAGAGTGCACTGACATCCCACAAGGAAGTGTCAAGGGATTAAGACATTTTTTGGTCTGGGTCTGTGTCAACACCGCGAGAACTGACAGGTGGTAGTACAGTGCGCCCTCTGTTGGGCATTCCATACCATGCTGACCAGAAGACTAAACAGCTGCTTAATGTGTAAGAGTTCAGATGCAGAAATAGATTTATCCTTTTTTTAACCCTTTAGAGATAATCAGCTTCAGCAAGAAAGTCTATTCCACTGACTGAAACAACTTACAAAGTCAATGTGGTCTTCCCTGGTGGCTATTCGGGCTGACTCGGCTCGAGCCCTCATCTCACTATCCCGGGGGAGACTGGACCCCTTCCTGGAGCCTCGGCCCGCCTCATCCTTGTCATTATCACTGCCATCGGACCGTGTCCTCAAAGTCGTAAGCTTGCTGACGGAGGGGACTTTGGTTTCCGATGATCGCCTTCTGTAATACAAGTTAGACAGAAAACATACATATGGTTAACTTAGATGTTTCCAAAAGTGTACAACCCTATGGTTGACAAAGGTCTGCAAATAGAACGTAAATACATGTAGGCATGTTTGGCCGGTTTTTATCTATGAGTGACTGCCAACGCCAACCAGCGATAGACAGTAGCACACCACTATCGCCTTGTGCACTGCACGCAGGAAGACAAATAGCGGCACATGTACATGTACAGTATGCTGTAGGTGGGGGAGTTGTTTCTGAATAGTTACACTGGTCACTTTGCAGTGGCCCCACGCTAATGGCAGTAACCATGGTAACCATGCATTGTGATGAAAACCAGGAGTATCCACTTCATGAGGGAGCCAAAAAAAAAAGGCATTTTCTCCACAGTAATAACGGTCCTTTGGTGGGAACTAATCTAGTGAGCACGCAGGTTTACATGTACATGTATGCACAGTTGACATGCTTAGGGCATGCAGCCAATTGGCACGAATGATCTTCATGTGTGCGCTGGGTCATGCGTGAAAAAACCAGCTACATTGCAGTCTCTCATTTACTGGTGAAATACTCACAGTGGATCATACTGAGAGAACCACTATTCCATAACAGTCAGTCCACACAAAACCGTACACAACGCTTTCTGCCTAACATGTACATGTATGTAAATAAGGCAATCAGTAATGTCCAGTGAAACATTCCTCGGTTTGTCTGCGGATACAAATATTAGGATTTCAACTTAAATAACGGCTGTCATGAGATAATGGGGCTTTCATAAACAAAACTGCCCATGAACAATGTCCACTGAACAATGGCAATTCCTTTTTCTTTCTTGTGTCAACCCCCATCACATCTAAATACATGCATGTACATTAAAATACATGTACCATACACATGTACGGTACATTGGATCTCTTGGGCTCACAAAAAGGGCAAATAAAGGGCAATTTAGTTTAGGTTTTGACAAATAATGAGACAACACAATTTTTTGAGACTACTACCAGAAGGTACCGGTGCATTATTTCTTTTCTCTCCCAATGGGTGTCAAAGGCCCCACATGTACACGTACATTGTACATACATGTATTGGTCTACACATGTAGAAATTCCCTAAATTTTTGGCTTCCCATCACACACAAAAAGTGGGTCCCCAGAAGAAGTATTTCTTGATTCCCTCTGTGTATGTCAAATAATGCTGGATACACCCTACAGAGTTTACTGGTATATAAATGCTGGGCTACAATTTGACAAGATCCAATTTGTCATCTGCACAATTTATGTCATGTGCATGTACATGTACGTGTGCATGTCAAATAATGAAACATGAATGCTTAGTACATGGAGTAATTCTGCACACATCCCTAAAAAGTTGAAAACTTTCACCGTGACCTGTTTTCAAGTAAATTGTACATGTATACGTACTAGTAGAGGTATGTATTAGAAAAAGTCTACATGCAGGCAAACATCACATAAAATGTACACAACAATTGCAGAGCTTCGATTTGACAAGATCCAATTTGTTATCTGTGCAATTCAACCAGCCTACAAACTACCGGTAATTTCCCCGATTGCGAGGGGTAAGCCAATCCGGAGGTCAGGAAATGTGATACTCTTGAGCTGCGGAGCTAGCAGTTGATTGGTTGTTTGCTTTCTCTTTCACTGCAACCCGTAACGCTCGTCTGCTCACGTCATCATGCGTATTTGGCAGCACTGCACGAGCGAGCACAGTCAAGCAAATTATCTTGTCATGGAGACTTTGTCTACTAGTACGTCTGTTTACTTGTTTGTTTGTTTATTTTTCTGTTGCAAGTGATTCATAATCTCTCTCCTCAGAAAAGTGAATTTATGTGGTTTAATGACAAATGTTGGGGATCTCAAGCTTACAGTGGTACAGTGCATGTAGACAGTATGAAATTTCTGATGGCCAAAACTGGCATGACACTGCCTGTAGCAACTGTGAACTCTTACCATGGATTCCCCACAAAAGAATAAAGATATTCATTTTATTCATGTTATAAATTTTCAACTGAGTTTCGACAGTTTCTGCGGTTCATCTGTAATTCCTTACCCACAAATTCAATGGATGTTATGACACATAATATAACAAATGAAGAATAAAAATATCTGTTTGGAATTCAGGATGCAAACTTTAAACTACCCGGTATGCAGCTTGCAACGAGGTACATGTACATTGAACAGCTTTATAATGTACATGTAGGTGCATAAACTACACAGGAAAATGACAATGCAGTACATGTACATGTATATGACAGAAATGCAAGACACTGTGCTGGTAACGGTACCATATCTTAACCTTTATTCCAAAGGGAATTTAAAAGGCAGTTTACATGAAACAAATCTATTCCTATGGGTTTTAAGGAAAAATCATCCAATACCGCAAACAACTTCACGTCAGGAGTCATGCCCGACAGAAAAGACTAGGGTAAACTCATTAGTTCCGACGTTGGGGAATGCGGGTCTATAACCCCACCATGACAGGCCTGTTGAGGGAAGGGAAATGCGACACTGTCTGCTCAGGAGCTCTTTAACAGAATCAGGGATATTTATGGTTTTACATACTAGTATGTAACATGCTCAGTTAATAATCATAACAAACCCATGTAATAACGAAAATCCTTCAGCTGCTCTAGCGTTTGCAAACACACATGAATGTACACTTTAGTGTGCGTAATACTATACATATACATGTACATGTACAGTACATGCACTGAAATACACTGTACTGGGTACCTACATGTACGGTACGGTATGCACATGTGCATATGTACACATAGCATTTACTGTATAGTCAGGGATATTGCACAGTGTACTACTTCGTATTAGGCACTTTACAATGCAGTAGCTGACTTCGAAGAATGACCCTGTTAGTCACCTTCGCCAAAAAACATTACAAAGGTCTGTGAGTTGGAAAAAAGGGCCACAGTAAAGTGCACATACATACATTTTCCACATCAGAAGTTGCCCGCTATAACTACATGTACATGTAACACGAATGTAAAATCATTTAAGTTGTACATGTATGAGTACTGATACTAGCGGGTATGAATCTTCAAATTGTAGATGTGCACATGGGTAAAAACAGATACTTGAAGTCTTGAATAACCGGTTCCATTAGCAATTCTCGCCGTACAAATGACCCTCATTTTCCACAAATGCCAAGAGGCCAAACCTTTTTTTTACAAGAAATGTGGAGTTTGTGGACAATGGTGGAAGAGAGTGAAAAATGCATTTTAAAAGCCTTTGACACCCCCTTGATATTTTGTTACAACTCAAGGTCAATTTACTGCACAATTTATGAGGCTTTTAGGGTCCTTTTTCAAGTGCAAAATTTCCTTTTAGTGTTCACAATGAGGGAATTTCTTTTAATTTAAAAAAAAGCCCCGACAAATTAAACGTGGCAGTTTTCACTTTATAAATTAATTCAAACTGGATCTACATCAAAACATCTGCTCATTCAATTACACACTTTTAAAAAAATTCTACTGACGAAACATCAAATATCTTACGTTGTACAAAGTACCGACACCGGACCAGTGCATATTCCTGTTCATGAAATACAATAAATGTACATGTATACGGTGATTTTTTGTGCTGTCCAATGAGTTATTCAAGTAGGAACAATTCAATCTTCTTTTCTTTTTTTTTACTCACATTTCCTTTGGGTATCATTAAAAAAAATAAAATTCAGTCTTTTCAACGTACATTAACATGTAGATGCACAGGTACATGTAACTGCCACATGAGCACTGGTTTGGAAAAGTGTCAATTTTTGAACGATCAATCTCTTATTTTGGTCAAGGCTGTGGAGAACAGGTGGGATGTTCCAGGAGGATTATCACAACAAAATAACCTTGTGAAGCAATACATGTGGCTGCTGAATAAACCATGGAAACCATCAACCAGTTGGGTACAACAATATAGGTACCGGTAAATATCAACTCTTCACAAACTGCAATAAAAAAAAAAATGAAGAAAATTGAAAAATAATAACTGGTGCCTCTTCTGGTAGAAAGCAATATTTTCACTTTTGTACCAAGCACTTTAGGTGTACATGTACATACATGTACATGTAGAAGCGAGTACATGTACCTACCAGTGTACATGTACATGTATGTGTGATGTAAATCACATAATCAACATACCTTTAAATTTGTAAATCATATACCGGTAGTTTCCATAAATGAATTGAAATTTATTTTTACTACATGTATGAGTACTGTATACATGTATGTACATGTTAACATACATGTATGTATAAGCCAGCTAAATCCATTGCATTTTTTAAAAACAAATTGTATGATGTACACGTACATGTATCGGTACCGTATCATACATATACCAGAATTTCAGGTACAATGGACATGTACACTGTATACACAGTGCAATATGTTTAGTTACATCCCCACAAAAAGGTCTGTGGTTTCTGGTCAATACATAGTTGCATACGTCGTCATGGTCGTTGTACACCTGTACGTTAACAAAATAAAAAGGTTTCATTTGCTACAATATGATGTCCAAAAGCTGCCAAACTTGGTTGATCGACTGGAATCCTGCCACTGCGTAATTTTAACATGCTTTAGACGGGATATGGTTGAGTAATAAGAAGACACTAAATGCAAGCTGAAAACACTTTCAAACCATAAATAGTGAGGGGACCAGTCTATTTCAGTGCTGCTAGCAGCGGTACAAGCACATGTGCATAGGGGAAAAAAGGAGGGCAAAAAAAAGTGTCACAGTGACACTTGTGGAGCCAGCCCCTGACCAGAAACCAGAGACTTTTTTTGGCCTTATTGTCGGAACTACATGTAGTCCATCAACAAAATCTGTCCACCATGCCTTTTCCAGTGAGGAGCACTGTATATTACTATACATGTACAGGGCTATCTTTTCTTTTGACTTTTCACAAAACTCAAAAGAAGAGAATCACGATGTTACTTCCAAAGTCCTGTGCATCATTTCCAATCATGACGTTGCAGTCCTCAAAACACAAAACAAATGCATCGGTGTATACTGTCTGTTACGATGGCCAACAAATATTCGTATCATTAAAAAGTTTTCTGATATTTCTGAATATCCCTGCTGTATTTAAAAAGTACTGTTCTTGTTCTTTTCCAAAATTTGACAATCTACTGGTATTAATAAAATGACCCTTTCCCTGGCTATCATCCTACTAAGAAATGACTGCTGAGTCACTTCAACTATCCCTCTTTCGAAATGTCAATCGATCTTCTCTGATCAAACACAACCCAATTCTTCCACGAACTCAAATCAGCAATTTTTCTTTTATCGAGGCCCATTCCCTTTATCAACTGTCAACTGCGGTGACTGATAATCTGGTTAGCCATTAACCATGGGTTTTGTATGATTCCAACCATGATCACTGATTACCAACAACCCTCGAGAAGGCCCGAACAAAGTCTTGAACTTGGTACTTCAGGAATCTGTGATCTACTTGGGTCAGTTGCTGTCCAATTGCAACATGACCAGTGGTGGGGGAAAAAAAATTCAAATCAAGACAAAGAAAAATGGTGACGATCATAAAATTGTGGCATTTAAGAGAACCCAGGAAACGCTCCCTTGAAAAAAATCTGATTAGTTTTAGTGTGTACACGTGTAAATCACAGTTTTTGGCAATGCCAAATTTCTCCCCGTGCTAATAGACAATTTGCCCTCAGGAAAAATGCTGGAAAAGTTCCATGCAATCACACCCACATAAGGCAATTGATTTGAAATGTCAGCTCGTAAAATTTGATTAAATGTACAGACTGCAGACTTTGTCACCCACAGCAAAATCCAATTTGTTTAACTTTTGAAGGTATAAAATATAAAATGAAATGTATCATTACAACCAAAACTACAATGTATTAAGCATGTCCATGCTACAGTATGTTTCCATGTCTAAGAATCTATTATTACTTGATATTTTGACATTTATCTTAATAATATTTCTTTCAATCCTTTTTATAATTTATGTAGACATGTAAGAAGAATATGTATAATGCCACAATACTGGCCGACAAAAGTGGGACACGGGTAAAAAAAAAATTGATGAAAAAGTTTAATTTACTCAGAATTCATCAGAATGGACCACCTTATACTGGAAAAGAACAATAAACAGATAATGAGGTAAGTGGTTATTCTGCCCTGCAATGTTTTCTCTTGACGTGTAAATTTAAAGTTACATGTAGTTATACGGCGTCCTTTTATCAGTCTGGTATCCAATAGCAAAATGAAAAGGGCAAACATGTATACTGTTGTGGAGAATCACTGATCTTAAAGTCACAACCCCCTCTCCAAAAAAGTGACTTTTTGAACAATCAACTACATGAAGTGGACACCGTAACTTACATGCACGAAAAGACATATGTATGCAACTGCTGTGAATGCTTGACAGCATGAAGTCTTGAAGAAATTTGCTGATTTTCAATTTGGTGAGTACCTCAGGGTTAGTGTTATCATTGACAACTAACGCTGAAAAAATTTTTAAGGATCTTGTGTTACAATTTTTACGTAAGTTACAAAAACGTCATATTCACAAATTCCAGATCAAGACAAATGTTTTATTTTCACTCCCTTTATAAGAGTCTTCAAGACAGATGTGCTTGTCTTGAGCATAATAGTTCCTTACTAGAGTTGATTTCGTGAAATGAAAAGTAAATATTATGAAATTAATTTTATTCTAAATGAAATTTTATGAAATGACATGTCAATAGTAAATTTTTATTGAAATAAGACCATAAAGAACTTGCAGTAAATGGAGTCAGTGAGTATTATCAGTTTGCCCTAATTTGCTTTCTTATAATATTGCCTCCTTTCAGCCGTGACAGTAAACTTGCACTAAAAACCCATCACGGTGAATTTCATGACCACAAACCTTCAAGATGTTATTCCTGGAATTCAAATCTTGGGAAGATAACTTTCAGATTACGCAAACTTCGACCTGAAAATACTGGTACATTTAAGTTTCAATAAAAGTATTTGTTGGAATATGCCGTGTAAAGTGCTTTAATTTTTGAGATTTCTCCAGATTAAAAAAAAAAGAAAGGAAGGCATGAAGCTGGGATAATTTGACCTTTATTAACTGCATAAAGAATGTGTAGCTGCATGTAGTTCTGCTCCGTGTGTATGATGAAACTTTAAGACACAAAGTCTGACTTTTTCCCTGTATTGTGCTTTCTTTTCCTCCATCAAATTTGTAATGTACTCTTTGACTCTCTCATTTTCACATGCTCAATACAAATTACACAGATATGGGTTCTCTTTGATCCGCTGTCTGAACTCTGATACTCTGCTACAGATTTTCTTTTTTGGGGGACAGGTTTCTCCTCTTCAAGCTCTTCAGCAACATGCAGCTTCCCCTTGGTCGAAGACTATAGTTTGACCGTGCCTCCGTCATGTTGTACGTGTACAGATATCATACCAGGGATATGACCAGATTAATGCAAAATAATACCAGGAAAAGAAAAAAAATGAGCCCCCCCCATTTTGTCCACTGTGTAAAAGTTCAAATTGCAGCCAACGACAAGCATTACATCATGAGCACCGATTTAGAACAAAAAAAAAAAAGGTTTCTGGGTATGTGGGCAAGCAACTAAAAAATATCAGCAAAATGTCACCTTCCCATCTCATAACTCAACCTACCTCCTAGCTCCCCCAACCACATCCAACGCATATCTATGTCCACTCTATCCACTCTACCCCACCCATTCCTGCACTCCACCCACAGAATCATAAGTACCAACAGTAATACGGTACGGGGCAAAGTTGAAAGGGACTGGCGTAACTATGTTGAAAATGTCTCGGCTCACTCAGCCAATGTCTGCGGTAACTAACGTTAAACCACACGAAGATGAAACATCAGCAAAGATTTGGGGGTGAAAATTTCATTTAAATGTTACAGGTTGACAAGAAAAGTATTAATAACTTGTCATGTAGTCATGTAAAAGGAGAAATGAGATGTTTATTCACTTTACCTCCGTTAGTTACAAATGGGCACGTAACACCGCCCGTAGAATGCCAATTGACCATGAACTAGAACCCATTCAATATCTAATGAAATTTTCTTTTAAAATTGCAATCGGAACCCAGATCACAGAAAAATAGAAAGAGAGAGCATTATTAAAAAAAAATACATACCATATTTTTATCTCCAGCTCCATATCGTGCAATTTAAAGAAGAATCCGATGTCAGCATCACATTTAACATAAGTAACAATTTGGCGCAAAACACAAGTGGCGGACACAATGATCAGAATAATCATCAATAAGAAGAGTAACGGAACAAGCCTGAACTAGGTGACCTTCAGGTCAACTATTCAGGATACTTGTATTCCGAAGGATTCTGAAGGAATTGGGAGGGTTAACTTCCAGGAGCTGTACTGATTTTCCTTCCCCCAAATTAAAAGGAAGGAGAAATCTCCCCCTCACAAGACTTACAGCATTGCTGGTTGGGATCGGATCTGCTGAAGGACGCGATTAAAAGCGCTGGGCCGGACCGGCAGATTGTGGATGTTCTGGGCATAGGAGACTGGATGTGCGTCACGTTCCGAGCTGTGCGAGATTTCTATGATAGGAGGCGCCGCATCATTGTCCTTCTTGCGATGGAATAGACCCTTCAAGCCTGCCAAGTAAGAGGGAGGAATGAAAATGGGAACTGAAATCAGTAAAATGAAACATCTGTCTCCGAGCAAAAGTTGAGCAATAACGCATAAGCAGGGTACATATGGAAGTAGCTCTTAAAGGCCTATTTTGAACAGACTTGTCCAACTTTCAAAAACCACATACGACATAATCGCATCTAGGATGAAAGCCAATAAAAAATTATTTCATTTTTTGCCTGTTTTTTGGGGGCTTCCCTGCTATCTCATTTTTATGTTGTGTGTTTTTATCCACTGGAAGGCATAACAGTACAAGAATGCATGTAACCTCAAATGAGCGAGTGAGAGAGAGCGAGAGTTGGCAACCCTATGAGGTTGTAGTGCTCAGCTTTTCACTTTACAGCAAGGACAAGCTCGGAAAATGTAAGGAGAAGTTGGCTTCACATGGATCCAGATCTCGATCAGTGATCAGTGTTTCCTAAAGCTGATTCACTCTATCTATTACACTGGTTATGGTCTCAGTGAACCAGCAAGGGATCACTGATCATGATCCAGATCTGTTTGAAACAAAGTTGCAATGTTCATAGGTCAGCCAATGCATACAGGATTGCTTCCATTAAAATGTGGTGACTTGCGGCATGTACATTGTAAAGTACATGTATGACTCATCCTCGTGGCATATTATAACATCAAATTTCAACTTTTCAAAGTAAAAAGCCTCTCAACATCAACCTGTGCCCCTCAAATTCAAATCATTCATTTAGCTGAATTCCCAACCAAACTGGATTTTACACAGTGCACGGTATGAGGACACACTGTTATGAGGACAATGCGCAAGCCTTGAAATCCAGTCATCATGTACGGTACACGCGTATACACACTTGAATACTTAATCTACCAGGAAACCTGAACATGATGCTGGTGGCTCTCATCAGACAGTGTCAGATCAAGTACATGTACTACCAGTAGTACACGCACAAGTGCCATAAAAAATATGCATGGGTGGAGTTTGCCCAGTCACAGTTCGGCATTAGTTTGAGTGCCATTCTGGCTGTTGATTTTTGGTGGTTAGGCATGGCTTTAACAGCCAATACATCCTCAATCCTTCACGTGTGTACCTGTCAGAGGGTTAAGGACTGTTAGGGCTGATACATGTAAGCTTTTAAATGCATTCCCTGCAGACGTACATGTATGTAAAATTACGTAATCGTTAGAAGGCTTTTCTGGTCATTGTTGATGTTCTTGCTCACTACCGTAGCATTGATGTTGCTGTTCTCTTGTTTTGGGGCGTGCTTCTTGGAAGGGGTGGCGTACAATTAGGTACAGGTTGGTTATTCTATAAATCTGGGGTCCAAAGAAAAACACTTCTCCACCCCTGTTACCTCTGACATACCATCTGACAAGTTTGACAAGGGATGTACCCAGTAAATGTATTACTGAAATTCATTTCAAACTATTTCATTTGTGTGGCAGGTAATTTGTAGTACTGCGGTAATTCAGTCTTGGAAATTAAACAGTGAGTTCTAAACATTAAAAACTAAATGCCAGATATAACAGGGACGGGGGGGGGAATGGACCCAAAATTTATGGAATACATGAACAATGATTTTAATTTTTTATTTTGTCTTTCTTTTTAAATGCAAATGACATCTTGATTCACAAGTCAACAATGTACTGGTACATATACATGTACACTCCACATAACATTTGCCACAAGCTAAAATGTATGACTCACACATTTGCAACAAAGCACTAGACAACTTTCCATACATATGTACAAATATTCATGTCAGTAATAATTGTATTGATGCGCCATCTGATGCGTGAAACTTGCACCAATGTCATGGAAAATACCGAGTACAAAATTTTACTCTGCACCCTATATAGGATTCCACTCATGCATGCCGGTGTATGTAAAAATGCTGACCATTTTTTTTAAAGCTCTGTAACACTGTTTCCAAGTGGGCTAGGGGTGTCAGCATAATTTGAAATACTGTATGTAAGGGTGTTTGCATAGGCCTTAAAAAAGGGAAGGGAGGGGTATAAAGAAATGCATTATGAATAATGAAACATCACGTCCGAAATGGGCCACAGCCTATGGGGCGTCCAAAAGAAGTTTTCTAACCTGGTTCTAGACTACTTCTAGCATGAGTTCAGTGTGCACGAGGAGACCATACTTTCCAGAATAAATCTGTTACACATACTCAGCGTGCTCCATGTCAAACGCACATAAACTTACGCACCTACATGTACGCACTGAGTTGGCATCAAAGGACTGTCAATTTCATTTGAAAACATGCCCTCTTTTGTTCCGGCTCGGAGCAGATGACATGTACAGTACCAGTGCACATGCAGCATGTACATGTACATTAGTCTTGAGTTGGATTATACCGGCACCATACTGGTTGGGCCACTACTGGACCATTGGTGCAATTATCTCATGTCTAAGGCCCAATTTCACAGAGCAGCTTAAAAGTAGCAGAAAGGTCGAGCTTACTTTTGCAGAAAAATTTGCTAACCTTAAGCACTATTTCATGGCGGTGCTTGGCATGGCAGATATGCTTACATAGAGATTTCTATTGTTAATGGTTAAGCAAATCCTTCCTCGGAGGTTGACGTGCCTTTGGCTGAGCTTACTGCTTACGGTCTCCATAAAATAAGTGGAGCATCTGTATCGGTCAGTGTGAATCATGCGCTATATAAGCAGCACCGTGAAATTGGGCCCAGTACAAGTACGCACATTCCCAGACTTCAGCGCTGCCACCTGAACACGAACATGTCTACATGTGCTCTAAATCATACCTACCAATATGGTGTGTTCTGGTAAACGCACATGTACCAGTACAGTACATGTACATACAAGTTTACTAAGCACTGGTTTACATTGGTAGAGAATGCTTAACAATGGATATTTATTATTTTATGCTGTTGCACTAATAAATTGCCAATTAAAAATTCAAGCTTTGAGAAATTCCCACATACAGGTATGGTACATATACCTTGAAATTAGAATTGAGAAAGCCAGCTTTCTTGATGATCCTTTTTTATGCCTGCCCAACTTGCAGACTTGAAGCTTGAAATGTAAAAGTCCCCACCCTGTGTCTCCATGGTGTGTCTTGTCAATGGACTAACTCCACATGCAATGGACTAACTCCACATGCAATGGACTAACTCCACATGCAATGGGTAACTCCACATGCAATGGACTAACTCCACATAGTTCATGATGCCGATGCAGCAGGTATGATGACTGATTTCCAAAGAAATCAGAATTATTTGCCACCATTTTATCAGGTTATGCAGGAAATTAAACAATAACTTTCAACTTGTAAATAGTCAGATAGTTGGTAAAAAGCCATTTTTTCAAAGCCAAATTGTTTATGCTTTTCAGAATACATTTTAATTTCTTAATTGTGCACATTTCATAGCCAACTTTTATTGTATTGGCAATATTACTGGAAGAAATATTAGTGAAAAAACTATGAAAATCTGTATCGACACCGCTTCCTGCCTCCCACCTCCCACACACTCAATGGAGCTCACCCACATCACTTGTTGCTCCCTAAACAACTTAATCCCCATTCATCTCCACACCTGGCAGACTCCTGACTATTTAATGATAACATCCAATTGAAAAACTCACCTGATTCACAAACATCTACACTTAAAGAATTCAAGAATTACCAACAGCCAAGGTGGTGCCCTAACCACTGTCACTCACTGATCCTCCTCTCCAATGAAACACATACTGTCTCTAGGCCATTTGCCATCAGAAACAACATCCCTCACTGCCATCCTGCAGTACATATAATGCTTGCAGTCAACAGCTGTATGATGATGTAGCCTCCAAAGGAGTGGCCAGAGGGATGGCAAATTACGTTTACTGTGCCAATAACGATTCCTTAACCTTACAAGAGCCACTTTATTTTGGCCCATCTCACATCTGATTTCTTTCAAACTTACAGCCACTTCTAATCATTACAAATGGGAATTTTTAACTCAATCTGAAATATGGCTTTATTGTTTATGGTCTTGTTGTTAGGGTTATGTTGTTACGGTCATTTGTCATGGTCAGTACGCATGCACTGAGCACTGTAGTGGAAAAAGTATACATTTTTGGCTGATTGGTGTCAAAGTGACTGCAAAGAGTTACTCTAAAAACACCTGAAGGTTCTACTCCTGAAAAAAAAATTGCACTTTGGTGATACTGGAAAAAACATTGAGGGGATTCAGAACCCCCCCAGCTCTTTTAAAATTTAGGGTAAGAGCCGCCAAGAACGTGCATACAACACGAGCAATTCTGGCATGGAAAATCTTGCTTTCTACCTACCAGTAGTTATAGCGTTACAAAGCCAAGGAATTTTACCTCAAAAAAAAAATCAATGGGAAAGGTCAGCTTTGTTGAATACATTGTATTTTCCTAGTTGCAATCATTTTCAACAACACTTTTCTGGCGTGTATTTTGCCAATTTTGGATACGTACTGGTACATGAATTACTGTGCTTCAGTGCTTTGTACTGTAGAATGGTTCCTAGCTCATCTATTATATCATCTACATGTACATACATGTAGTTTCAATTTAGCAGCAGTAACTAGTGTAAGCCATGACTCAAGGAAAACTCACAATCACAGGAAACTTTATTTCATTTCACGATTCGACATCCAGTGAGAACTACATGTATACCTGAAAGGTGAAATATGAAAGACAATTTATCTACACAGGAAAATTAATATGTACAACTATCTGTTTTCATTTTGTTTTCTTTTTTTTTCTTGATTTTTTGCCTGATATTAGCCTGAACATCTGTGGGGCAGGCCGCCACACGTTTCACTAGATGGAGTCAGAACAGGTGCACTGCTGACACCATAAGACCACTAGGTCTACAATGTACATGAATACCATACATGTATAATTTGCGTACAGCAAGTGCCACTGTACGACAGTACACGAACAAGCAATTTAAATTTCAAGCCCTGCACAATACATAAACCCTCACTTCATACATGTGTCCTCCATACACAACGAGTAACAAGATATAATATGCTACTGGCCAGGATGAGTCATCCACTGATCACACATTTCATTACACCTGTAGAAGACACTGTCAAGCACACTGGGAAACATGAAAGCTGCAGGGTGCTGGTTGGGCAAGGAGAGGTTTGTGTTAAAGGTCAATAAACCCAGACATCATCAATTTCCACAAATAAAAGAAAAGGGCATGCACATATGTCTACATATTCATGTATGGGTACCTGTCTGTACCCAGTATTGAGTGGACAAGTGAACAGGAGAAAAAATCTGTACACGTACAGGAAAGTAAGGGTAGGCAAACTTAAAAATCAGAAATTGAATTTTAAATACACACATATTTTGAAGAACGAGAATGCAGGATCAAAAAAAAGCACTTTGCTGAGACTCTGAAGGCTAGTACTGAGCAAAGAATGTTTCCAAAATCAAATCACAGCATATGTGTACATGACCATGTATGCTGATCCAAGGACACCAGCACAAAACACATCTGACCTATTCCACTGCATTCACCCACCACTCTGTTCTGAAATCACACACATGCAAGCATAAGTCTTACCTTACATACACCGAAGGCATGTACCGGTACTGTACAGGTACATAGTAGGTGTAAACACTGCATTAAGGTGAACTGCTTCAAATGCAGACAAAAAAATGCACTGTTCACGGCAGCAACTTTCGTAATGAGCCTGCTGCATGACGATTTGTCATAGCCCACAGAAATACCGAGAGACTCTAACTTGGACCTTGCCCCTTCAGATGCACATACTACACTCACTGACAGATCTCCAGTCACAAAGATCCGTGTACTGGTGCATGTGTAGATGCAATTTACAGTCTCACCTCAGGGTGAAATCACTTGCAACGGAAAGGTCATTCATTTTCTTTCGTGGTTTCATGAATTTCAATTTTTAGACCAGTTTAAAGATACATGTACATGTATGAACTGTTTTTTCCCCTCCCACTAACTCCCTTATTCCAGGGGGGCTCTTGTGACAGATATTTCAGGCTACAGTGTCCTTTAAGAGCCATAATACCTGTACATAGCAGTATCAGTGCTTACCAGTAGTGCGATGCACTGTGGAAGGACGAGTATCCTACCCTGGTACCGTAGCTCTACAGTATACTATTCCATGTAAGTGTACTTTATGTCTGTGAACTCATAGAAGGTACATGTACCATACCGTTACAAGGCACACATCTGAACAAATTAATTTTCTCAGCAGTTACCATTCAAATTAGTTGATTTAAACGGCAATCTGTCTATCTGCCTTGAGCAGAAGCACCCTCCTCATCAGTTGAAACAAGCCATATTGGTAAAGAGTGTTCATTTTGTTGGTAGAGATGCATGACTAACGCATGTTTTTCACAGTCGTTCATGAAGTTAAGTTCCAACCAAAGGGACTTCCATTGCTAAGAAAACTGCACCCTCTCTTGGTCCAGATCAAGGCTAATTGCATTCTTTCAGCAGGTGTCTATCATTTCAGTTTCATCCGCACATATACAATGTAATCCCCACGAAACCTGTCCTTTATTATAGGAAAACACTTCCCTCCTACTTTCTTCTCCTGTTAAATTTACTCGTACGGTATGAAAATCTTTTGCCATCACTGTAACAACTTCATGTTATTCAATGAAGAGTGTGCTAAAAGACAATATTTAAAATTCTCCAATCTCATCCTGAATACTATACTTTTGTGACATTTAAGAAATAAGCTGCTCAATTTACAGGTTTTCTGTTCAAAATATTGACCAGAAACTGCTCACTGAAAAAGTTTGAGAATACTTTGCTTATCAGCCTACTATACCGAAGAAAACTTTTTGAAGTTTTCTGCAAAAATCCCAAATGCAAATTATGCAAATAATACAAATTATACATTCAAGAATGTACCTGTTTGTAATTAAAATACCGGTACCCTTAAAAATGGACCAAAAAAACACCACAATATGGTTAAATGGAACAATGCTGCATTAAAAAAACACACTGCATGGGACCTTTTACCACACTAAATGATGGGTATTCAAACATATACACTGTACATGTATCAAGGAGTGCAACAAGTACACGGTTCGTACATGTACATGTATACCTACACATGTACTGTGCATGTACTTAAAGTATCAACTCTAAGGTGACAACTACTGGTACATGTAAATGAGCATGTAGATCATGTACACATGTACAGTATGTACGATGTATGTACCAGTACATGTAAGGTCAAACTCTTTGGTTTCCCTGCCTGGAAGATAGCAGCGGAACCCAGCCACCACTGAGTTACTCGAATGATATGATTTTTACAGCTTCTATTAACAGTCAAGGGCAGCATTTGAACTACTGGTACTAGCATGACCAGTACATGTACAAGCTATTATTAAAAATGCTTCCACCAGACTTGATTTGCTTGCATGTATGGTTTTCATAGGCAATGTTGAAATCCTCCATGGGTTAGGAGGGCATATTCTGTGCCCCCAACTTTTTTACTTTTGTAAGGGAGGGTATCATGGGGAGGGGGATTTTTTTTCTTTTTTGCCAATGGTTGATGGTGGCAGACCTTTGTGTTAGACACAGTTTGATACCCATTGAGCATACCGGTAATTTGGACGTACCATATATGTACATGTACATACGTACCTTTCTTGGCAAATGGAGAAATTTTTGAAGTGGAATACAACAATCTTTAACTTTTTCACAGCCTGGGCACAATGAAAAGTGCTGCACCATGAATGACAGACAGAAATAAATGTAGCACTTTTCATGACTACATGTATGTACATGTACGTGTATAACATGACCTCCCAGAGGTACTGAAAATTGACAAAGTACAAGTCGCTCCAGTGAAGAATTTTCTGACATGATGATCCGCAGTGTTGAAGCTGCTTCCATCACAGGTTCCCGCAAGGCCAACCCAAGTAATCTAAGTGATGAAGTATTCAAACGTCCTGTCATAAAAGCATTCCTTTGTGCGTGTAGATGCTCACGCTGCTGCTACAAGCTGGAGTGATACGACGACATGCATCACTAAGGACTGGGGACCAGCTACCTGCGGTGTGCAGAGCAAGCCAGCACGCAGCGTGGCACATCATCAATGACTGCCCTGTCCTCCAGCCTCCCAGTTGGTGACATCAACCTGGCAAATCCCAACGACAACACCACGAATTGGCTTCAGTGCCTGAAAGTCATCACACAGCCCCGAAGTCTGACCCAAGGAGAGCCCTGTTACTTACCGTATGACTGGTCTCGTAAAAGATCTTGTGACTGGACCTGCATAAGAAGGGACTTAGGAAAGGACTTGTGATATACTGTGCATCCCCTTCCCCCACTGACAACACTACATTGTCTGTCCTATGTGAATAAACCTCATGCACTGCAACGTCTGTCTAAAGTGTACATGTACATGTACAGTATACACATCTGAACTTTCAGCATGCCCGGCATGATCCCAACCGGCACATATTCCGGTACTTGTAAACAAGCATACTGGTTACAATCTTTTCTCTTTATGACACTGTCAACTCACCAAATGAATGCTTGCTGACTGGCGGTGTCGAAGGATCGACCCGTGCACTGGTGATGGAGTTTGGGGACAGGTCCTCTGCGCTGCGAGCGCGTCGATGAGTGGGATCAATGTCTGAAAATACCCAAACAGAATAGTTAAAGAAGACAGTCAGGCTTTATGGAATGCAATGCAGAAATACAAAAATAATATTCTAATAATAATAATACCAAAACTAATATACATGTAAACATGCAGTAACACACAATATTCAAAACACTTCCTCCATGGTCCAAGTACGGTATGTTGTAAACACCAATGCCATGGTTGAATAAAAGGAGAATATTCATCAGCTCACATGTACATGTACATGTATGTACAAGTCCCACTACATGTACATCTACACGTGTACATCTACAGTATTCTAAGCATTCATTTTTACACTCCTTCAAAATCCTTTACTGCATGAGCAGGAAACCAATGGCACATTCTTTGCAGTTTTAAGAACTTCTTGACGCACAGCATACATGGTACTTGTATGGTGCATCTCTTATACACTTGTACTGTACCATCCACCTCAAGTGGACACATGCAATTCTGTAATGTCTACAGACTAATCCGATTAGACGCCATAACTGCAGTGGCAATGCACTCACACACACATTCTTCAGTTTGACGGGCGCATGCATTTGGCAAATCACGACACCCTGTTGGTCGAAGAGACATGTAATGCGCGCGTACCACCTGTCCACGAGCATTGAGCCACCGCAGTAATGGCTTCCAGTTCTGGTGGTCGAATTACACTATAGTTGAGATGCACCCTCATCAGCAAAGAGATGGGCCACTACATGTACATACACATGTAGGAAGTTTTCCCACTAGAACCACGCATGTAACCAGCACATGTATGAAGACCGTACAGGTACAAACAGAAATTTGGAGTGCTGGCAAGTGCACCCTGCGCCAAACGTGAATGAACCTGCACATGCTCACGTAACGAGTTCCCAACAAAAGACGGTCGAAGTGGAAACTTGTTAGTCTCAATTTTCTGAAAATACATGTACATGTAGCTACAGTATAACTCGGCTTTCACTGATTCAGTGCCACATGTGGAGAAATGTAGAGTCCCAAATTTCTGAAACTGACCACTGTTGACTTGTATTGTTGTTGACTTGTTGCTGTCTTACAACAATGTACATGTACATGTATGTCATTTGGAACTTCTGTTAACCATTCAGTGCCACATACATATACATGTACATGTACATGTACATGTACATGTATGCAGAAATGTAGAGTCCCAAATTTCTGAAAATATCCACTGTTGACTTGGCTTCCCTAGCTGTCACACCGGTATGTCATTTGAAACAACTCTAATGTTAGCCATTCAGTGCCACATGTGGAGAAATATATAGCCTACGTGGATAATAACAGCATCGGATGGAGGGAGAACTCAGGATGGAACACAAGATTGGTGTGCATTACTGCAGTCATGCAAACAACCAAGACATGACAACCAAAGCCAAAAAGAGCAGCAAACAACACAGCTGAAGTCCTCAGCTGACTGGCATGTGTCATGCTCAATCAAGGCAGAGCTCCTCCAGCGCAAGCTACTAAAAGATCAGACTATAGCTCCGGGACTGCCGCCACAGCATGTTTGGTAGGGCGCATACATGTACTGCCGTTTAATCAGACTGCAAGTAAGAGACGCATACATGTACATGTATCTGTATACAGACAAATCAGCATTGGGCTATTTTTTCCAAACTTAAAGAGAAACATTGTTGCACAAGCAATTGGAGGTTTGCTGCTCATGTCCCTTTTTTTGAGACAAGTATGGTATTCACACAAATACAACTCAAAAACATGACAAGAAATTAATCAACCCTAATGCAAATTACCGATACAAACTGCTGCAGTTAAATACCAGAAGAAGACTTTAATACTTTTTCAGCTTTCAAGTTCTTTTTCACCAACAATCAGTATACAAATGTTCACAAAATCTTGAGAGAATTGGTTGCACTGTACATTGTCCTCCGGTCGCAAATTTTAAACTTGGTGAGGACTGACAAAAATACAGCAGTGGGGAGGGAGGGTCATGGCATCGCTGAAAGACCTCATCACAGATCTACATACTACATGTGTACATGTACTTTGTTTTGGTATCTTTAGCATCTTTGCAATTGGAATTTCCAATTGATTATATTTTATCATTAAAATTAAGCTGTACATTTTTTGAAATATTACAGAGTCTATAAACATACATGTACCGGTACACACACATGTTGTACCAAAAAGTTGGAACTTGGCAGTCATACATGTACATTAAAATTTGGTGGCTACAGGTACATGTACTTTTTAAACATGGGCTGCCAGGCTACTTTCATACATGTACACTGGTACATACATACACATGTACATGTACACATACATGTACATGTACCGGTACATGTAGGTTAGAGAACATGACACTGGTACATGTACATGTATGGTACATACAAGTATATGTAGATCTTGTAAAAGAGTTGACTTTAACTATACAGTACATGTATGTGTATGTACATGTACACCATACACCTGTACCATATACTCAAAATGTATGCTTGAATGTGAGTACATGTACCAGTAGCTGGAATCTTTTTTTTTAGAATTTGGGTACAGACTGGCATGTCTGATGCTGGCATCATCCCAAAATTTGGATAATCAAATTTCTTACACTGTGTTGCCATGAGCGTTTTGTAGTGTTGTTTGATATTCAAGTTCAACCAGCACTTTGCCAAAATGTGAATGACATGTGATTTTCACACTGTTTACACATCATGAAATAATTATCTGAACCAGACACAATGATGCTATGTTTACTTGAGCCTGCGGCTTTTTTGATCAAAGTTCAAAAACAGCCCCAATTCTTATTCAAGGTTTTACACGCACACACGAGTTGAATGTGGAAGCTTTTGATCAAGTTCTCAGAGTTCACAATCTGCTCTGAAAAATCTTGTGTCAATAAAATGCAGGCAAGTGTGTGAATATGACAGCATCAATATGATACATGTACATTTCCTCTAGGGCCCTTCCTACATACACGTGTACAATACAATGGAATATTCAAAGTACAATTCCAATTAGTTATTTTGTGTAAAGGCATTGTGTAAAGTAAAATGATGTTTTAGACAGCAGTGATGCCTTGATGCTGAACCCTGGCCTTAAGGCTGTCTTAAGGCTTGTTTGGGGGGCCTTAAGGCTTGAGGGCAAAAGCCTTGGCCATGGCCTTAGCCTTGAGTAAGTTGAGTGATCAATGCCTTGTAATTTTAGAGCCTTGCTCTGCAAGGTCCTCTGCTTTCTTAATTTTTCAGGTATTATTGCTTGAAATTTTGTTGTTCTGCAAGCATGCATGTACAACCAAACGTAAGGTCAGCTTTGAGCTGTCTGCAAAGTCTGCAGTACAAATAATCATGTCTTGCCACAGAGAAAGGAAATACCCTAAATTTGTTCACTTGTACCGGTACATTGTACATTTACAGTATGAATGTTTGAACATTTTGCTGCTTCCCTAAAACAAAGCTATGGACTTTATTCACAGGGCCGGCCAAAGTGAATTTAAAAGCAAGGTTAACTCTTCACTTTTGAATGTTAAGAGTACATATGAAGCAATAAAATGAAATTTCATGACAAAATTTCCACTTGTCTACTCTGATGAATAATTTCAAATTCATGATTGAACATACAGAATTGTACATGTACATTGTCAGATTCTGAAAAATATTGAAAGGGAAGCTTGGAACGCACGGATGTATAAAACAGTCTGGTGCCATCCTAATTGGGGAATTTGATCAAAAATAATAAATAAGATCAAAAATGGCCTCCATGTGAATAGGGTCTACGGTCATTTTACATATACATGTACAGTGTACATGTACATGTACAGGTACATGTATTACACATGTACATGTAACTACAGTGTGGTTGTTGCCACAAAGGGAGATTGTTCTTAACTTGCATACAGTTATATGAAGCCCATGTGGACAGAACATCAGCTGATCTGTGTTGAAGACTGCCACTTGCCCTCTGAGTACATATAGACACATGTACACATGTACATGTATATACATGTACTACCCCTAGGAAATGATATTGTAAACTACGTACATGTACAATAGGTCGAATTATGGGTTTTTTCCATCATGGTCTAATCTTGAGCACATCATATTTAGAATTCATTTTACTTGTCACCATACCCTTAGATCTGTAATAAATACTAATTAGTTTGATACAGCATGTCCCCCAAAGTGCAACCCAAATGTACCGGTAGCATTCATTTTCTCCCAGAGTACATGTATTCATCAGAAATGGTATCCACTTAAAGCTGGCAGTGTTTTCTACACGCATTTATACTGAAAATTACATTTGAAGCTCGTGCTACCGTGCGTACATGTAGAGGCAGAGATGTATCAATCACATAGCACAGAACTCTACTCAGCCCAGTCTCCTCATTCTGTAGGCCATTTTCAATGGTCCCATGTGTTGGTATTGAATGGAATAAACACAGCTGCGTGATTGCTGGTGTCTTATAAAAGTACATGTACATGTACAGTGCATGTAGTTGTTTTATACAATCATCTCCGCAACGCATCATTGTATTTATATTATGTCTCCAGTTTTGAAAAGGTAACATACCGGTATTAGGTTTCAATTCAATACTAAAACAACACTTTCCCTAGGAAGTATTTGGAAGAAATAAATGTCACTTTTTGGTTAAATTTCTTTGGAGGGGAGGGGCAAAGTAATATTACAGTATACTTGAGCGCCTTGGCCTTAGCCTTAATGAGGTTCCCAGTGCCATTAGCAGAGAAGCAAACCTATAGCATTATGTTGCCACCACCATGCTTGATGGTTGGGAATGTGTTCTTCGACTTTTAGGCTTCTCCTTGCTTCTTCTAGACGTAGGATATCCATATGGCCAAACAACTCCATCTTTGTCTCATCAGACCACAGGACCGATGACCAAAAGGCAGGATCTTGTTTCAGATGAGCTCTTGCAAATGCCAGACTAGCCTCCTGATTTTTCTTCCTGAGTAGTGGTGTCTTCCTGGGCCTGCGTCCGTGGAGACCTCCTTTGTGCAATACTCGCTGGATGA